AAAAAAAAAAAAATAAGTCAATCATTAGTGTTTATCAAATATTTGTCTTTACCGTACTTCTAGGCTATGCTGAGGGATGACTAATAGTCATATATTGCAACATAACTTCTCAAACTTGTAATAACATTTTTAGAGGATCCTTGTAAGAATGCAAAGTTAAAAGTTATCCCTGAGGCTGTGTGCGATTGCTCACGCCTGTAATCCTAGCACTCTGGGAGGCTGATGTAGGTGGCTTGCTTGAGCTCAGGAGTTCAAGACCAGCCTGAGCAAAAGTGAGACTCCATGTTTACTAAAGTGAGACTCTGTCTCTTTAAAAAAACTAGCCAGGCATTGTGGTGGAATCTGTAGTCCCAGCTACTTGGGAAGCTGAAGCAAGAGGATTGCTCAAGCCCAAGAGTTTAAAGTTGCTATGAGCTATGATGCCATGGCACTCTACCCAGAATGACAGAGACTCTAAAAAGTTATCTCTTATCACTTTACCTTAGCAAAAAAAATGCCAAAAAGAAAAAAATAAAATTTTTCTCAACCCTTCTTTGGCACAGAAAACATCATTTCAAAAGTTCAGGAAGGGAAAGCAAGAATTTCAAAAGTAAAATTATGACAAGATAAGCTAGAGATGAGTCTGAAAAACAAATAGAAAATGAATGTCACTTCAGGGCCTCTCCCAACTTCGAAGCCAATTAATTATTACATTAGTAAGAGTAATTTTAAGTTTTCCAGTCCTCTCGCTAATGTGGAAGTTCATCACCCTAGCCACAGGGAACAGCAACCTTTCCAAGTGTCTAAGAAGTGCCTTGCAAGATTGCAGGCTAGTGAGCTTAATAAATGGTAACCCCTAGGACTGCATTTGGATCCACCCACTTTCACCAAGATGCTATGCAAATCACTGGATTATAAATATATCCTACTCTGATGAGCCTCCTATAGTAACCTGCTGACCTGAGAAATCTCAGCACGTAAAAAAAGCATGATATAAAAAATATCACCATAGGGTGGCGCCTGTGGCTCAGTGGGTAGGGCACTTGCCCCATATACCAGGGTGGCAGGTTCAAACCTGGCCCTGGCCAAACTGCAACAAAAAATAGCCAGGCATTGTGGCAGGCGCCTCTAGTCTCAGCTACTCAGGAGCCTGAGGCAAGAAAATCGCTTAAGCCCAGGAGCTGGAGGTTGCGGTGAGCTGTGATGCCACAGCACTCTACTGAGGGTAATAAAGAGAGACACTGTCTCTTTAAAAAACAACAACAAAAAAAAACAGGACAAATAGGATGGGAACGGTGGTTCACACCTGTAATTCATCACAACAGGAGGCTGAGGCAGGAAAATTGCATGAAACCAGGAGTTTGAAACTAGCCTAAGCAACAAAGTAAGACCTTGTGTTAAGTAATCCTCCCACCTGAGCCTCCTGAGCAGCTGGGACAAGAAGTGTGTGCCACCAGTATGCTCAGCTAATTTTTTATTTTTTTTGCAGGAACAAGATCTTGCTATGTTTCCCAGGCTGGTCTCCAACTCCTGGCCTCAACTGATCCTCCCATCTAGGCCTCCAAAAGTGCTAGGATTACAGGCATAAGCTATTACGCCTGGCCCAGAACTGGTTTTATTTTCTTCTTCTTTTTTAAGACTGAATCTTACTCTGTTGCCCTGGGTAGAGTATTGGTAGCATTATCATACAGTAGTTCAGCAACCTCAAACTCCTGGGCAACCATGCCTGACTAGTTTTTTTTTTTTTTTAAAGTTCTATTTTTAGTAGAGACAAACTCCAGAACTCAAGCAATTCACCCTCCCAGACTGCTAGGATTACAGGGGTGAGCCACCACACCCAGCTGAGAACTGGTTTTCTTTATGTCCTTATGAGGGTAACTGAAGCAAGCAAGGGACCTCCCCTGCAGAACAGCAAAGCTTTGATAGGGAGCTAACAGTTATTAAAATCCACTTCACACAAAATGCTTCTAAATACTTTCTCTTATTTACTCCCCACACTATGTTGAGGTATGATTAGCCACCTCCCATAAACAGGTAAAATGAGACTGAAAAGTTAAGAAATTTGCTCAAGATTCACTGTATGGGCTAAAACAGGCTGTACCTATCAGGTGTCAAAGCCATGGTCTTCATGCTCCCTAACTCTGCTGCCTCCCCTAACAGGGCTCCACACTTTCAGCCCAGAAAACACAGATGTTAGGAAAACCATGACTTACGAAAAGCTGCCAATCCCAGCATTGGAACCAATAGGGCATAATTCCACCTGCTTCCATCACTGCCATCAGCCCTGGAATTAGGTCGGATATTCCAGTTTGGAGGATCGTTTAAGTTATTCATAGAGATATACCTTGAAGAATAAACACATTAACCAAGAAGGCATAAAATATATCTGTCACAATTACACAGTCTACATGGATCATATGAATCACTATTTTTGTTCAAGAAAGTTTTTCAGTTCTATCTACATGCTGTATAGCACTGAGCCCTATGGGATTCAAAGAAAGTAAAAACAAGATCTTAGATGAGAGTATCTCATAATCTGGTGGGGGAGAAACCTGCCTTAAATAGGTGAAAAATACGGACAATTAGGTTAAGTTCTTAGTGTTAACATGTTCAAATGTATGGCTGTTATGATAGCTAATTTTATGTCAACCTGACTGCACCACTGGGTAGTCAAATATTTGGTAAAACATTATTTCTGGGTATGTCTATGAAGGCGTTTCTGGATGAGATGAGAATTTGTATACTTAAACCAATTCCTTATAGTGTCCCTCCTCTTCTGGTTCTATTTCTTGGGAGAATTCTGTTAATATAGTTGCATATAAAGACATACAATTATACATATATAAAATTATACACTGGACACAATGTTTCATATGAATTAGGCTTTGAAGAATGAGAAGCATTTTAACAGGCAGAGATAAAAAGGTCTTCTGAGCAGTATTAAGAGTGTGAGGAAGGAAGGATGGATGTAAGGAAACTCCAGCTCAGGCTGGGTGTGGTGGCTGGCTCACACCTTTAATCCCAGCACTTTGGGAGACCAAAACGAGGATCACTTGAGACCAAGAATTTGAGACCAGCCTGGGCAACATAAGGACACCTTGTTTCTATAAATAATTTAAAAGTTAGGCCTGGTGGAGGGCATCTGTAGTTCTAGCTTCTTGGGAGACTGAGGTAGGAAAATCACTGGAACCCAGGAGCTGGAGGCTGCAGCAAGCTGTTATGATGCCACTGCACTGTAGTTCGGGAAAGACAGCAGACCCTGTCACAAAAAAAGTAAAAAAATTTTGGGGTGGCCAGGCATGGTGGCTCACGCCGGTAATCCTAGCACTCTGGGAAGCCCAGCCAGGTGGATTGCTTAAGCTCAGGAGTTAGAGACCCAATCTCTAAAAATAGCCAGGTGTTGGGGCGGGAGCCTGTAGTTCCAAGGTACTTAGAAGGCAAGAGGACCGCGTGAGCCCCGAGTTTGAAGTTGCTGTGAGCTATGACGTCACTGCACTCTACTCAGGGTGACAGAGACTCGGTCTCAAAAAAAAATTGAGCTGTGTTTCTTCCTTCCTATGCATCTGTTGTAAACTATTTTGTCATCAGTATGTATCAGTATGTATTTGTGGTGGCCACATACGGACAAGCTGGATGCTCTCGTGAGGACGCGCAGCCGGCGCCGGCACTGGGCGGAGCCTCGACTAACCGGTTCCCTTCCCTTCCCGCCTCCGCCCTAGAGGCTGTTCGCCAAGTCCCGAGGCAACCCAAGTCTTCTTCCTACCTTTTTTTTTTTTTTGGCGAGAGGATCTTGCTATATTGTCCAGGCTGCAGTGCAGTGGTTGGGGGTCGCTCCTGCCCGCGTAGCTGTGACGAGGCCGCGGCCACCACTCTCCGACCGTTCTCCTCCTCCTGAAGCTTCCGATCCACTCAGTCCTGGCAATTTCAGGGAGCCACGCGGGATTTCATTTTTACTGTTTTTGTTTGTTTTGCATTGTTTTTTAAGAACTGTGGATGACCGAACCCCACCCTGAGCAAGGCCTGCGCGGCCGGGCCACCGAGCACCCTGACCTACGGCCGGCCAGGAGCGCGGGAACCCTACCTCTTCCTCTGCGCTTCAGCCGCGGATTCTCTCTACGCAGGCGCGGAACCCCGACGCAACCCCACCCCCCGCGTGATGCGCAGGCGCAATATCCTTCTGCTCTCGCGTCGTGGTGCGCAGGCGCAACACGGTGGGAGTTTGGGGGTGCTGGTGGACTGTGAGGTGGTGACAGACTTGTCCGGGGCCCTAGGCATGTTGTGGCTGCTGCGGGGGCGGCACCTGGCCCTGACCAGGAAGGTGAGTTGACGCCGCGAGGTGGGGCGGGGGCCGAGGCGGCGGAGGGAGCGGGACAATCCCTACCGGGTGTAGGCGCACCAAAGCCTGCTGGTCGGCCCGCTGCGCCCGGGTGAAGGTCACGACCTCTCCGCTTTGGAGTCCAGGCTTGGCGTCCGGAGGCCTCGCGGGCTGAGTCGCCCCCTCCTTAGTCTTAGTGCGTGGCCAAGGGGAAGAGCCCTGTCTCCCAAGGTCACTGGGCGGGTGGCCGCCAAGGGCTGTGCGGGCTGGCCGTGGCGTGGTCGGGGCTCGCCGCGGGGCGGCAGGGCCCTAAGACTACCCGGGGTGGGATGCGAGCTTTGCGAGAAGGCGCAAATCTACGCGTGTCCATACCAAGACCATGCAAGTTGAAGCCTTTTATTTTGGGTTTTGTGTGTGATGGCCCTTTTGCACAAATTTTAAAAATCAGGTGGAGAATTTAGGACACTGGCCGGGCAGAGTGGCCAAGACCTTTGTTTCGGAGGGATGGGGTCCGAGAGGGGACGGACGGGCCTCCCTGGGCAGAACTCGCATCAGTGGAGGGTAGTGGTCGGGGTTGTGCTTTGCTGAGCTCTTATTGTTTAGAGTGTAAGGTGACATCTTCAGAATGGACCTTTTAGGAGTTTATTTACTCATGCTAAATTTGAAAGGCTTAATTATTTTAAATGAACTCACGCACCCAGCCACTTAGTATAATTACAAAGTAAAAGTTCCAGTAGGAACCGGAGTGTCCTACAATACACATTTGAATTATCCGTGTAATTGTGACTGCAGTTTTCTCCTTTCTGAAATACAGATGTTAACAATTTTGAGTTAAATGTGAGTCTTAGTCGTAACAGGCATCCCATCAATACCAGAAAGCATTGGCGTTGACTGAGCAGTCAACCACCCCACCCCTAGTCTGACAGTCCTAAGTGCTGCTAGGAGGGAGTCCACTAGCAGGAATTAAGTCCTTGGTCAGTGGGGCTTTTTTAGGGGAATTGCTAGACTGGTAACTTCTGATTGGAAAAGAGCTAGCATGTTTGTTCTCAGTCCGGATTGTGTCCAGTGTTCCTTTGTGTAGACTAAGACCCCAACAGACTAAAAAATGACCTTCATCCCCTGCTCATGCTTTGTGAGTTTATCAGTGAAAATATTGTCCTTTTACTCTGTATTAGACTAGAATTTCAGCTCTGAGCAAGAATAGGGTTCTAGCACAACAACAGGTGAGGATGAGTGAACTGTACCTTTCCTAACGGCTTGATTAGAAGTAACCTTTTATTGAATCAGCTATTAGCTGCCAGCATCTTAGCTGCATCATCTCAGAATCTTACAGCCCTTTGGTTGGATATAAACAAGATGGTGAGATAGAGATAGCAAAGTAGAACTATAAGTTAAGGCTACCAAGATCTGGTCTTTAGTTTTTTTAGGTCTTTTATCTTGATGAAGCTAGTTTCTCCTACAGAAATTAATTCTGTACCAGTGTATTTATTGGCTTTTCAGGTCTGCTTTTTCCCTTGAAGAATTGGGGTTTACCAAGGAACGAGATAATAAATTAGCAGAAAAAGGAAAGATATTTGTGATATCCAACTGAGAATTATCTTTGCTAAGGATAATTTCAGTCAAGTCCACAGAGAATTTTTTTTTATATCATTTTGGTTAGTTCTGTAATGTTTTCAGCTCATTCTGTATTTATAACTCCATTCAAGGTACCAGCTTACTGGACTTACTGTGCCTTTTTTTCCTTTTTGTTTCAAGGCACTGACACAGTTTGCAAACTGGTCTAAAGCAGTTTAATCCAAAGGAAGAGTAAACCCAAGAACCGTAAATAGTTGTTGGTTAACTGCTCAGTTCAGGGGAGAGATTTTTCAATCCCCTTAACATGAATATTCAAAATATTGTTCTAGGATAAATCAATTTAGTTGAGTAGATTGTTCTGAATATGTTTTAATGGTGTATGTAGAATCACGTTATTTAGACTATCATAGTAGTAGCCTTTTGTTTGCTTTTTGGGACGATTATAACAACATCTAGTTCTGCATGATGTTTTTCCCCATCCATTTGGAAAATTGTGACTTCATTTTGGTATATCACCTGGATGTTAATCTTAGCTCAGAAGCTCAGATTTTTCCCAAGGATCTTTAGAGAGCAAGGGAAAGTCAAGGATGTAAAATAACGTTTGAACACTTTGGTGACACTCTTCCAAACCAGGGCTCGCAACCTATGCTCAGTAACCATGCTAACTTTTAATCATCCCTTTTTAAAATGAAATAATTTACACATAGTTGTAAAAAAAATGGATAATTATAGATACCCTTATATATAAAAAGGAATAGACCCCCCCCAATTCCCCACTGGAAGCAGTGCCAAGCTGTTTCTGATATTGGCCCCTGGTATTTATCCCCTTTTCTCTAACTGATATGCAGGTGCATTTTTGTTATTTTTAGACATCAACTTCTTGCCTGGTAGAGGAAGGTTTAGTTCCCACTAAACCACCCTACTTCCCTTTCCCCTGTCCTCCCAGTATAATTATGCACCCATTTTTAGGTCCTTTATCAGCTGCTTTTGTAATTACCTATGTAGATTGTACCCACAAATTAGTTTCTTGTTCATGATTTATAGGTGTTTTTTATTAGATGAGGACTCCCCTCTTTGCCAGAATGAGGATATTAATATCTACCCTTCTTACTTTTGTCTCACTTCTACCTTAATTCTGTCATTTGAACTTGAATATTGTTAAACAAGGTCGAAGGATTACTTCTAGTTAGGTGGATTTCCTCATTCTTCTTCATGTTGTCCCATTAGAAAATGTTTGATAGGTTCTTCTCAAAAAAAAATACTAAATTTAACAAGTGACACAAAATGAGTTTTATCTCAAGACAGAAATTGGTCAGTTCTATAGTGTTTTCAGCTCATTCTGTATTTATAACTCCAAATTCTAAAATCTCCCCCAAAAATGGATAATTAGATTTATACTTAAAGGTTTAGTATCATTGTTTTCCACCGGGGAGATGATGTGATGATTTGTTTAAAATTGCATTAGACTAGTTGCCAGCGTTTAAACTAGTGTGAGAAGGGTACCTTCAACGTGAATATCCTAGAAAAAAGGAAATACTAAGAGATATCATTATTTCTATTTTACTTCGTTATAACAAAATGCACTAGTCTTATTGGTGCTGTTATGTTAATATGGTGCTTTTTCAAGAGTGTTTGTATTAAAATTCTTTCAAAGATCGTAAAATGTGATTTTACCGTTTAAAATTATACTAAGGCAGGAAATATTTGTTCTTTTTACTTTTTTAAATTTACTTTCTGAGAAAAAGGAAAAACCTAAATTGGGTTATATAAAAAAAAATGTAGATTTAAAATTGGAGAATTGAAGGAAATTGCTTTTATTAGTTGAGATCTACTTAAAAATCTAGCAAACTACTTTGTAATTGGAATAAAACTCAAATGTTTGTGTGAGCTCTCATTCAGTTAGAAGGAACCAAAGAGGCAGGAGCCCATCTCTGACTTTGCTTAAAGGAAATCAAATCATCTAGCTTTGGCCTGAGTACTTTCACCTTATAGGAAGCCACTGATTTTCAAATAACTCATTTCATTTTGCTAAATACCCCTAATAATCCCCACTTGTTTATCCTACAGAATAATTTCTTTTTTACCCCACTGAGTAAATATCTATCTTTTCCAAATTTCAGGACACTTGAAAATATCTCTTATAACCCCTCTTCTGACTGCAGAATGTATTATTTTCTTAATTGTCCTTTATGATATTTCAGGAACTTCTTACATTATCAGTGATCTTATAAAATACAGTCAGCAGGATAGAAAACATACCCCCTGAACGATCTTAGCATGTGGAAAATGTCTCTTCTCTGACACTGGGCCAAGATTTCACTAAAAGCAGTTTTCTGCCAGGCGTAGAGGTGCATGCCTATAATCCCCAGCATGTTTGGGAGGCCAGGGCGAGAAAGATCACTTGAGCCCAGGAATTTGAGACCAGACTGGGCAACGTACTGAGACCCCCACCTCTGCAGAAATTTTTTTTTTAATAATAGCTGGACCCAGAGGTGGTAGCTCATGCCTGTAATCCTGGCATTCTGGGAGGCTGAGTCTAGTGGATCATTTGAGCTCAGGTTTCAAGACCAGCTTGAGCAAGAGTGAGACCCCATCTCTACTAAAAACAGAAAAATTAACCAAGCAGGCTGGCACTTGCCTGTAGTCCCAGCTACTCAGGAGGCTAAGGCAAGTGGATTATTCCAGCCCAGGAATTTGAGATTGCTATGAACTGTGATGCTATTGCACTCTACCCAGGACGACGATTTTAAATTTTTTTCTGTCTCAAAAAAAAAAAAACCTAGGTGGGTGTGGTAGTGAAGGCTTATAGTCCTGACTGTGGGGAGACTGAGGCCGGAAGATTGCCTGAGCCCAGAAGTTCAAGGCTGCAGTGAGCTGTGATTACATTATTGCACACCAGACTGGACACAACAAAGCAAGTCCTTGTCTCAAAAAAAGGCATTTTTCTTGGATAAATGTTTCTAAGATGGGACATTTAAGCCAAGATTTAATGAGTCGTAGAGGTCAGCCAGGGGCAGTCAGGCAGAGGGAGCATCTCTGGGCATGACCAGAAGAGTGTGACTGAAATCCTTCTGTGCACGATAAAGGGTTACACCATTCATCTCTCTGAACTTGACGGTTTTTATTATTCTAGAATGTCAATCTAATAAACTGTTCACTGCCTTTTTCACTGCCCACAAGGCTTCAAACATGTTTGGAGCTCCAGTGAGAAAAGGGCAGTGAAGCTTTATTTGCAAAACTGCCACATATAGTAAAACAATATCTATGTCTTCCCCACTTTCCACTAAGTAGCATAAACTAAGACTTTACAGAGAAAGTGTCTTTTCCATTTTATACCTGAGTCAGTGAGGATCCTGTTTGGGCTTTTCTTGGAGCCCAAGTCAGAGTGGAGATGTGCTCCTAGGGCTCGGTCCATGCTGTTTGTTGCTGCCCTGCAGAGCGAGCAGAGCAAAGTGTCCCAGGGAGTGTTCTGGATGAGCAGGAGCAGCTGGGCCCCTGAAAAGTTAACAGTTTACAGGGAGAAGTACAATTCCTCCCATGGAGTGTGCTGCTGCTTTAAAGATGCTAACCCTCAGTCTGTGTTTCAGCAGTGGCCAGCAGCATTCCAGACAGGAACCAGAGGTTTTCACTTCACTGGTGATGGGTACAAGAGAGCATCTGCTAAAGTGTCAGATTCTGTAAGTTTGTGAGTTTTTTGTTCCATTATAATTGGGGTTTTTTTGGTGGTTGTTTGCTTAGAGCAGTAATGATCTATACCAGTTTATTTTAATACGTTTGAGTAATAAGCCTATTTAAAGAGAAAAGATTCTCATGAGCATCTAGTATAAGCTCAGATTATTTTTAGTGCAATAATACTTAATTGTGGTAGAAATATAAACATAAATATTAACCTTTTTGCTTATAGCTTTTACGTATCTATAAACTAGAGTTAAGTAAAGCATCAAATTAATAAAATACAAATGAATAGCATTTGCTGTGGCAGATGGTAAAATCTACTCCAAATAGGACTGGATATAGATTATTGTATTTAGTGTACCAGTTCTACTTTGTTGAAACAAATGAACTTTGTTCACAAGGTAAGTTTTAATACTACTTAGTACCTTTTCAGTCATAAAAAGACATGGGCCTGAAGCATAGTGTGGTTTTTAATTCTCAGGTTATCAACCAGATGAACTGGAACATGCGTCTCTAAGTGCAACAACATTCTAAGATTATCATGAGACACTTAGAGATCACAGGGGAAATACTATCTCTACTACATTACAAGCTTAGATTTGTTTCGCATATGTATATGGGTATAAACATAAAAAGAGAAAGTAAATAAAAATGACAGTTGGTATTTATGATTTATAGTGATAAGAACCAAATTTTAAACAAATCTGTACACATGCTTTATTGCTGAGACATACAGTAGTCAATAAAAGGCTTTCGAGCATAAAAATAAAAAAAAAATGATAGTTGGAAAGAAAAATCATATTTAGAATTGGTATTTTGATTCATGTTGTTGCCTTCCTGTGCTTCTGTGTTTCCCTGCTTTAGTAAACAGAATTGACAGATGAGGGTCTTCATGGTCAGGCTTTTCCCAGAAATGGATTTTTGGACTGTATACCTTTACATTTTCAGCTAATGTTGCATTTCCTGGTCCCGTGGGATAGACTCACTGTCATTTATAAAATCTGGCTCTTGGTCCCTTTTGTATGTGAGGATGTGCCCACCATCCCTTAGCACTGTTTAAGGACTGGTGCTTAGCTCTGGGATAGAAGGGGGAACTGTGTGCACAGTGGTCACTTCTTCCTCTTCCTCAGGCTCTTTTACTGGAACTGCAGTCTTTGTGTTGGCATAGTTGAATGTGTGAGTGACAGGTACATTTTTCTTTTTCAGATTTCTGCTCAGTATCCGGTAGTTGATCATGAATTTGATGCAGTGGTAGTGGGTGCTGGAGGGGCAGGCTTGCGTGCTGCCTTCGGCCTTTCTGAGGCAGGGTTCAATACAGCATGTGTTACAAAGCTCTTTCCTACCAGGTCACACACCGTCGCAGCACAGGTAAGAGGCCCTCTAGATCCTTTCACCTTGTGCAATGTCCCAAACAGACCCACTGCCTGAGCAGCCTCCTGCCTCCTTCCTGTGATGTGCTTGCTTCATGCTGTTATACTCTGGGCTCTCTGCCAGGATTGTCTTCCCTAGGGACTATGCAGCACTGGAGACTTGTCTCACTCTTACTGGGGCTTCAGTCATACTTGGGTCTCCTTGAACTATCCTGTGTAGTGCCCCACCCCGCACCATGCCCTGTGAGAAAGAGATTATCTAAAGAAGAAGAATCAAAAGTTAGATTGGAGAAGAAAAAGGTGAGAGTTTCATTTGTCCCTGTGCTGCCGTGTTCTGTACCTCTGAAGTATAAAGCAGAGCAGAGGCCACACACAGAAGAGGGAAGCCTGATGCAGGGGAGTATAGTTCTTGGAGTACAGAGAATAAGCATGTCTCATCTTTAATAATACATACCCATAAATAGAATTGGGGACATTTTATGATAAAATGATCTGAATAGGTTTGAGGTTGAGGACCTTTTCTGTGCCAGGTATGTTAAGTACTCATGTTATGTATAACCTTTGACTCACTCCAAAAAGGCCTTTGAGGAGTTCACGCATCTCTATTGCACAGGTCAGGAGACAGACTAAGCAGGGAGTAGTTGTGATTTGGATCCAGCAGGCCTCACTGTCTACTGATGTCAGGCCTCCCTGAGAGTCACCGCACTGAGTAGTTGGCTTTCTTTGAATCAGGTCCTGGGGAGGAGATGGGCCCCAGAAGACGCAGCTGGGGCTCCCGCTTATCACTTGTAAGGAGTGCTTGGTGTTTCCAGGGAGGAATCAATGCTGCTCTGGGAAACATGGAAGAGGACAACTGGAGGTGGCATTTCTATGACACCGTGAAGGGTTCTGACTGGCTGGGGGACCAAGATGCCATCCACTACATGACGGAGCAGGCCCCTGCTGCTGTGGTTGAGGTGATGTGTGGGAAGCTCACGGGGCCTCCTGATGTCTGTTTCTGATATTGAATACAAAAGGAGTCCTAGAAAAAGTTTAAGAGATTGAGGCAGATATGACTAATTGAAAGAATGGTAATGAGCTCAGCTAACAAGAGAAATCTTTTTCTGTCATTAACTATCTCGTACATTTAATAAGGAAACTTTTCTGAAATGTCAATATTTTCGTAGAACATACTACTTTCAGTGACTCACAGCTGTCTTCTTAATACTCTGGGAGACTGAGGTGGAAGGATCCCTTGAGCTCAGGAGTTGGAGACCAGCCTGAACAGGACCCCGTCTCTACTGAAAATAGAAAAATTAGCCGGGTGTTGTGGTAGATGCCTATAGTCCCATCTACTCAGGAGGCTGAGGCTGGAGGATTGCTTGAGCCCAGGAGTTTGAGGTTACTGTGAGTTATGACACTACAGCACTCTACCCAGGGCAACAGAGTGGGACTGTCTCCAAAAACATAAAAAAAAATTAGCCATGAATATCTCCTTTAAGGTAATAAATTTTTGTTTTATTTTGTTTCACAGCTAGAAAATTATGGTATGCCCTTTAGCAGAACTCAAGATGGGAGGATTTATCAGCGTGCATTTGGTGGACAGAGCCTCAAATTTGGAAAAGGCGGGCAGGCCCATCGGTGCTGCTGTGTGGCTGATCGGACTGGGCACTCACTGTTGCACACCTTGTATGGAAGGGTAAGGCCATTTCGGATGCATATCAAAGTATTAAAGAGATGCTGTGAATAACTCTCTCTTAAGGCGATATGTTTATTCTTGGTTCTATTTTGGAAAGTTGAATTGATAGTCATTAAATGCCGGGTTTGAGGTTGGGATCTGTCACACTCAAGATGAAAGAACAGAGCAAGTGTTTTAATGTTGTTTCATCACCTCCACGTTTCTGAACTGATTGATTATCTTGATTATTAACTATTAAAACCAGACAGAGACTTGAAAGACAGTAATCGCTGGATGATCAGAACCAATTTTAGCATGGACAAATAATATTCTGAACAGTATTGATTCAGAATAATCAATATTCTGAACTCTGTTGTTTTCAGATAATGGGGGCAGATCATTAATTTGCAAGTGTTAGGATGTCAATGCCTTAGTGTCTTGCTAAATGTCTTAAGGGACCTGTCATCCGTCACAGGAGCTGTCATATGGGAAGTTGGCCAGGCTTATGAGAGCCACTTGCATTGGCCCAGGGGAGCTACAGAGCCTGGTCTTGTGATGTTGTCTAGTGCTGGTCTGTGGTGGTAGAAAGGTGCTTATTTGCACTGTCCACTTTGATAGCCAGCAGCCACATGGCACTATTGCAGATGTGACTGGTGTGATTGCAGAGGTGGATGTCTCTTCATTAATTGTTTTCATTAATTAAGTGGTTATATGTGGCCAACAGCTCCCATCTGGGCCATGGCTGTGCAGTCCATAGGCCTCACTTTGGTGCCAATCTCTGAGGGCAGTTCAGTGCTGCATGAAGCCATAAGACAGTTTGGAATAGAGAAATAGATGTATTACTAAAATATGAGTAATAAAAAATACTCCGTCTGCATGCTTTTCTCTAGCATGCTTGACACATTTGCACTTGGTATGTCTTGTTTGTGCCACTTAGCATGGGAGCACTCTTGCACTTGTGCATAGGCCCTTGATACTGTTACTGGTTGTGGAATTACCTGGTCCATTTGATAACAGAATGGAATCAAGTTTTTTGACCTGGTCATATGAACAATATAACTATAAATGTTGGTTTAACTCTTGTTTTTTGTTTTTCTTTTTAAGTCTCTGCGATATGATACCAGCTATTTTGTAGAGTATTTTGCCTTGGATCTTCTGATGGAAAATGGGGAATGTTGTGGTGTTATTGCACTGTGCATAGAGGATGGGTCCATACATCGCATAAGAGCAAAGAATACTGTTGTTGCTACTGGGTAGGAATCTAATTTTTTCTCCCTGTTCAACTCCACTCTCCCCCCAGTAGTAATGGAGTCTCACTGTTTCCTAGGCTGGTCTCAAACTCCTGGTCTCAAGCAATTCTCCCTCACCCTCTCAAATTGCCGGGATTACAGGTGTGTGCCACCGTGCCCAGCCAGGAATCTAATTTTTATTGTAATTTATTTCTTTATAAAAATGAAGAACTTTCATTTAGTTTCTTTATACTAATGAAAATAGAGGCATTATAGAGTAACAGTTTACACATAGATCTTGACATAACTATGAAAATGATAGTCTTTCCAGCCTTAGTTCCTCATCTATAAGGGAGATGACAGTGGCACCTGCCCTGAGGTGGATGAGAGTGCAGTGTAGCCCTCAGGATATAGCAGTGGCTACCATTAGGTCAAAGCTCAGAGAGTCCATGAGGGTTACACAGTGTACCTCTCCTGATTGTAGATGAGGAAACTGAGGCCTGAAGAGTCACATGGAGTTTTCTGTATAATTTCCCTTGCTTTAATGGATATTAATTCCTGAAATAGATAATTCTGTTTCTTCACATGATGAAAATAAATAAATTTGATTTATACACTGTCAGTTTGTTGCTTTAGCCATTAAAAAAACTCAAAAAGTTTCTGTACAGCATAGGAAATAATCAGCAGGACTACAAATTGGGAGAAAATATTTGCAAACTATATATGCAATAAGGGATTAACTTCTAGAATTAAACTTCCAAAATTAACTTCTTTCTTAACGTAAAGAACTCATGCAACTCAGTAGCAAAAAAACAACTCAGTTGGAAATGGGCAAACGACTCAAATAGGCATTTTTCCAAGGAAGACACATAAGTGGCTAACTAGTATATGAAAAAATGGTCGTCATCTCTAATCCAGGGAAAGGCAAATCAAAACCACAATAATGTCACTTCACCCTAGTGAGAAAAAAGACAAGGTAACTAGTGTTGATGGGGATGTAGATAAAAGGAAACCCTCATACGCTGTTGGTAAGAAGGTAAATTGGTGCAACTATTTTTGTACCTCAAAATGGAGGTACCTCAAAAAATTAAATTAAAAATAAAACAACCATATCATCCAGCAGTCTTATTTCTGGGTATGAACCTGAACGTTGAGACATGAGTAGCTCAAAGAAATGTCTGTACTTCCATCTCCATGTGCTCATTGCAGCATATTCACAGTAGCCAAGTTATGAGAACAGGCTAAAGGTCTGTTGTAACTAATGAAAATGGAGTATTAATGATAACATGGATGAACCCGGAGGATGGTTTGTTAAATGAAATAAGCCAGGTATAGAAAGACAAATACTGCATGATGTCACTTATGTGTGGAGTCTAAAAGAGTTTGAAAAACAGAACAGTGGATGCCAGGCACGGAGGAGGGGAATTACAGATTGGGGACATGTTGGTTAAAGGTGCATTTCAGTTACAAAGTTCTGAAGATTTTTATTAGCATGGTATATAAAGACATACAGTATAGTAGCTATAATTAATAATAGCATACATACTTGAAATTTGTTAAAAGTAGTTATTGAATGTCTGCATCACCAAAAAATGGAAATTGTGAGATGATGGGAGAGATGTGTGAGAGGTGTTAATTAACTTGATTATAGTGATCAGTTCACATTGTATACTTAAATCGTCAATCATACATCTTAAATATGTACTTTTTATTTGTTGATCATACCTTAGTAAAGCTGGGAAAACAAGACGAAGAAAAAAGTGAACCCATAAAATTTAAAAACATTTTATTATAGAGTAATATATGCATACCAGGAAAACTCATCAAACAACACAAATACAAGTGAGAATCCCTTCTATCCCCCACTTGCCTGTCCCACTTGCCTGGGATAGCAGCCTCTCTGCTTAGTGTATGCACACTGTGGGGGTGAAGGTGTATGCACAAACTACAGGGGCTGCTCTGGCCTCATCAGGAGGTCCTGACATGGGCCACTGTGTAATCATTGTTCTTTGTTATTTTCTATTTCCAGAGGCTATGGACGTACCTACTTCAGCTGCACATCTGCCCATACCAGCACCGGTGATGGCACAGCCATGATCACCAGGGCAAGCCTTCCCTGCCAGGACTTAGAGTTCGTTCAGTTCCACCCCACAGGTAGGAAAGGACCCTCGCCTGGCAGTGGGCTCGTTGTGTCTTGTAAACAGGCAGTACCGGTCCCCTACAGTTTCATGTACTAACATACTTATCATTGGAACTTTTGTGTCTCAGGTCCTAATCTAAATGTCATTTCCTCAAGATTTTCTCCTGATTTCCCTAAGGCAGTTTAGGTCCTATCTTGTGTGTTCCTCAAGAACTCTGACCATTGCCTTGGCAGCACTTCTCCCAGTTGTGAAGCAATGATTGTCAGCTCCTTGGGGTGAGGCAGGTCTGTCTCACTGGCACTATGTGTGGTGCCCGGCACATGGTGGGCATTCTCTGAGCTAGGTAGCATATCTGACCAGCAGTGCCACAAGCAGACTTCAGTCCGGGAGGGAGAAGATCAGGCTTACACAGGACTGAGGTGTGAAGGTAGCATACAGCTGTGACAGGACAGAACTCCACGTCATGAAGGGACACTGGGCCCTCCCCATTTGGGGACTAGCTACTTAGGGGATTGTCAGATAGTTGACACAGTTGTGGGATTCAATGACATTGACACAATTGAAGTCCCCTTTGGGGGGGATGTTTTCTAGAAATGAATCTGAGAGATAGACACACACACAGATCTCCCTTTCATCCTAGGTGATGCTGCTGAATTCTTTTTGGATTGCTTTTCTGACTTATGAATACTGAAGAACCAGACCCTTTTTTCCCCCTCTTTGCTGTCGGTATCTCATTCCTGGCAGGGATGAAAAACAAAAAATGTATTTGTTGGGGCTTTTGTAGTTTAATTGTTTTGGTAATGTTTTTTTGTTGTTTGTTTTTAAATGGGGTTTTGCTCTGTTGCCTAGGCTAGAGTGCAGTGGTGCAGTTATAGCTCACTGTAACCTCAGACATCTGGTTTCCAGTGATCCTGCCTCAGCCTCCTGAGTAGCTGGGACTATAGTTGTTTATCACCATATCCAGCTAATTTTTTAACATTTTGTGGAGATGGGGTCTCCCTAGGTTGCTCAGGCTATTCTTAAACTCCTGGCCTCAAGCAGTCATCCTGCCTCAGCTTCCCAAAGTGCTAGGATTTCAGTCATGAGTCAACACACCCAGTCTGTTGGATTATTTGTTGTTATTATTATTATTTTTTTTTGGCCAGGGCTGGGTTTGAACCCGCCACCTCCAGTATATGGGACTAGTGACGTACGCCTTTGAGCCACAGGTGCCACCCATTTATTATTATTTTTATCTGATAAAATGCCATCAAGTTTCTGGATTCCATCTGTAGTTTGTTATAGCTCCATTTCTTTTTCTTTTTTTTTGAGACAGAATCTCAGTATGTCACCCTGGGTAGAGTGCTATGGTGTCACAGCTCACAGCAACTTCAAACTCCTGGGCTTAAGCAATTCTCTTGCCTCAGCCTCCCAAGTAGCTGGGATTACAGGCGCCCACCACAACACCCAGCTGGGTTTTTTTTTGGTTGTAGTTGTCATTGTCATTTGGCAGGCCCAGGCTGGATTTGAGCACACGAGCTCCAGTGTGTGTGGCTAGTACCCTAGCCGCTGAGCAACAGACACCGAGCCGTATTATACCTCCATTTCTTATGTTTCTTTTCCAGTGTATGAGAAATAAACCACCAAAAAATACCATTGAAACTAGGAAAACTGGAAGGCAGATGAAATGCAAGAATTTCATTCTTGCTTTAAAAGCAAGATAACCCTTTTGTTGTACTAATGAAAGTATTAGCTTTTGAATTTGTCTCCTTTGTTAAAACTTATGGGCTTGGCTCGGCGCCTATGGCTCAAGCGGCTAAAGCGCCAGCCACATACACCTAAGGTGGCAGGTTCGAATCCCCAGCCTGGGCCCGCCAAACAACAATGATGGCTGCAACCAAAAAATGGCCAGGCATTGTGGCGGGCGCCTGTAGTCCCAGCTACTTGGGAGGCTGAGGCAGGAGACTCGCTTGAGCCCAGGAGTTGGAGGTTTCTATGAGCGTGATGCCATGGCACTCTACCCAGGGGGATAGCTTGAGGCTCCGTCTCAAAAAAAAAAAAAAAAACTCAAGGGCTTGGCATTTCTTCTTTGTCATGACATTAAGGAACACAATTGTGATTGAAAACATAGGCCATATTGCTTAGGTTTGAGTTTGGAGTCTGTCTTCAGCTGCATAACTATGGGTGGGTTGCTAAACTTTAATTTGTTTTTCTCTGAGAATGGATAATAGTACCTAGGGTTCTTGTTAAAGCTTAAATGAGTTAATATAGCAAAGCAGCTAGAACTGTCCCTAGCAAGTACAATATAAGTGTTAACTATAGCAGTAATAATTATTGTCCTTGCTGCTATTTGGGTACTTTAGATATGAATTTTCCAAGCTGGTTATTCTTACCTAAAGTAGGTTACCACAATATCATGGTGCAAAAGAATGATCAAAAATTAAAACAAAATTTGATACATGTAGCATATGGGCTACTGTCAGAGTATTGAACAGAGCTTTGTCCACTAGCCTTGGCAGTCCTTCTTCCTCTTTGGGGACACCACTCTGCCCAGACCTGTCAGCTTTGTCAGTGCTTTTTGTTATCCACACTTACTCCTGTTACTTTTTCTCTTTCTTACTCATTTTTGCCTATCATGCTCTTGGCATACCATTTTCCTGTCTCCCCCTAAAAATGTCTTCAAGAATACACATTTGAATTATAGACCTAGCAATCCTTAGGTTATATGTATCTATCTATTTTTTTGCAGGCATATATGGTGCTGGTTGTCTCATTACAGAAGGATGCCGTGGAGAGGGAGGCATTCTCATTAACAGTCAGGGCGAGAGGTTTATGGAGCGATATGCCCCTGTCGCGAAGGACTTGGCATCTAGAGACGTTGTGTCTCGATCAATGACTCTGGAGATCCGTGAAGGAAGGTCTGTGATTAATATCCAGAGATGTCTGAATTGGGGCACATGGATACAAGTACCTCCTTTTCAGTTGTTACCTCTTCGGTGACTGTTAACATTTAAGTATTTTAAATTCAGGTATTCAAGTATTTTTTATTTCAGGGTAATACGATTATGTTATGTAATTTACACATGACAGGTAAAAATCAGAGTTGTAGCTGTGTCCTGTACCCAGGGAGTATGCCCTATTCCATGCATTATACCCACTGGGTGGAAGCTACTAAACCCTTCCTTCCTCCCCACCTATAGAGGTTAATTAAGATTTTCTCTACTGTGGCATATTTACATTTTAGCGTCTAGGCTATTATTTCTGTGTGACTATCAACACCTCTCACCCCAGAGTTAGCTTTGTTACTTATTGACTATCTTCTGTTATTTGTGATACTTTTCTCAAGACCCACATTTTGAGAATTTAAGCTGGTATTTTAATGTCAATCTTTCTCAAATCTGGAATGTAATATGTCTGTGTGTGGTGGACACTCAGTGTGAGAGGGAGAAACACACCCCTTCCCCAAATGAAGGCAGCATATGAGCATTCAGTGGTGGTGTGTTTAGCACCCACAGGTATTAAGGTGTGTGGGCTAGTTGTCTTTAGCAAAGCAACTTAAGGCTTTTCTGTTGCAAGACCTTGTTCTTTAATGTAGTGACACTTGTTAAATATCTTCTGGTATGGCCTTTAGAGAGTTACATTTTTATATTAAAAGAAGAGAAGTCAGTGGCTTTTTAGAGTACAGATATCTGTCCATATCCGTGGGTTCCACATCTATGGATTTAACCAACCATAAAAACAAAATAAAATTGCATCTTTACTGATGATGTACAGACTTTTTTTGGTCATTACTGCCTAGACAAAGTAATGTAACAACTATTTACATGGGATTTACATTGTATTAAGTGTCATAAGTAATCTAGGGATGTTTCAGTAGTATATGCTAGATTATAGGTAAATATTATCTTATTTTATACAGGACTTGAGCATCTATAGATTTTTCAGTCCGTAGGAAGTCCTAAAATCAATTCATCATGGACACAGAGGGATAACTATTTGTCATAGAGAACTTAATGCATTTACTAAGGAAAAGGTAGCAAACTGATCCCTAAGACTGGAGTGTGAATTCAGTGAGGGCAGGGTTTTTTCTCACTCTGTCACCCTTGGTAAAATGTCATGGTGTCATAACTCACAGGCCCTCAAACTCCTGGGCTCAAGTAATCTTCTTGCCTCAGACTCCCAAGTAGCTGGGTCTACAGGTGCCTGCCACAATGTATAGCTAATTTTTCTATGTTTAGTAGAGACAGGGTGGTCTCGAACTCCTGAGCTTCGGCAGTCTACTTGCCTAATCCTCCCAGAGTGCTAGGATTATGGGTGAGCCACCACTCTAGCTGAGGGCAGGGGTTTGTTCCTGTTCTTGGCCATGACCCAGCACCTAGTATCATCCCTGTTGTGCAGTAGATGCTCAGAAAAGATTTGATGTAAGAGTGACCATAAGTGAAGGGGAGATTTTTTTTAGTGTCAAAAATGTTGAAACTTACATGTTTCGATGATTTTGTATTCTCAGAATTTCTACGCTTACCATTCTGTGCCTTACGTTATAATGTTCCATTTTCCCAGAGGCTGTGGCCCTGAGAAGGATCACGTCTACCTACAGTTGCACCACCTACCCCCTGCGCAGCTAGCCACACGCCTGCCTGGGATTTCAGAGACAGCCATGATCTTCGCTGGTGTGGATGTCACCAAGGAGCCAATCCCTGTGCTGCCCACTGTGCACTACAACATGGGTGGCATTCCCACCAACTACAAGGGCCAGGTGACAGTACCAGGCCCACATTGTAGTTTTCACTAAAGATTTTAGAGAAAAAGATATTTTCTTTTAAAAAGTACTGTGGTGTGTGACAGATTAACTTTAAATTATTCTTACTGGAGGGTTGAGGGAGGCTGGTTGTAGTTCAGTTTTTACTCCTTAATAGTTCATTATAAATTTCTTATTTCTTCTTAGTAAACAGTCATAATATCATTCGCAGTTTTCTCCATTTTGTGGTTACTTTCCTATATGATCTTGTGTTACCTGGTAATGGTCTTTACAGTTAGTAAGGTGAGGTGTGTGAGAGTTGGGTTCTCTCTTCATGGTGAGCAGTGGATGGAGAGTCTGGAGTGCTCACACCAAGGACAGAGGTGGGTGGTGAGTCAGGTCGGGGGCAAGGTCCTAAGGAGCACTGGATGTGGTGGAGGCCATTTGGCCTACTCAGTATGCTGAGTGTTCAGGGGCAAAGGGGGAAGTGGGGCACCTTCTGGGATTCTTGCTAACTTCCTCCCCTTCTCTGACAGATGGCACAGATGCCTTATTTAGGGAGACAGAGGTACCTTGAAATTTTATCTGAAATCTGCTTTTCCACAGGTCCTGAAGCACGTGGACGGGCAAGATCAGATCGTGCCTGGCTTGTATGCCTGTGGGGAGGCTGCCTGTGCCTCAGTGCATGGCGCCAACAGGCTTGGGGCAAATTCACTCTTGGACTTGGTCGTCTTTGGGCGAGCATGTGCCCTGAGCATTGAAGAATCTTGCAGGCCTGGTACGTGTTTTCTTCAAGTAGTTAGGCAGTGTCAGAGGGCAGAGGTTACAGAGTCTGGATTTGTTGTTGAAATGTGCTTAGTGATTGTACAGAGGTAGTCTGGGGTTTTTTCCCCTAGGAGTGAGGAAACTGAGATGCTGGGACTAGACACAGCCTAGACAGGGGTGGGGGTGGGGTTCTTTTTTTTTTCCTTAGTTAAGCAGGCCTGGGTGTGAACCCACCACCCCTGGTGCATGGGGCTGGCGCTTTAACCATTGAGCTATGGGTGCCCATAGACAGGGGTCCTAACAGTTAAAAAGGTAAATACTGGGGGTCACATTTTGTTTCTTCTAGTTATTAATATTGTGTTCTGCTTAGAAAAGACGTTATTAGGAAATTGTTATTTTGAAGGTAAACTTCCCTTCAAAGTTTATTGCATATTACTTTCCTGAAATAAATTACTTACTTGCAATGAAATATTTTAAATAGTATGCATAAATGACTATATAACTTCTTGGTACTTAGAAAAATAATTTAGGCCACTCTAAAAAAGTATAATTAATCTTTAATAAAGGAAAAGGGATAACAAAATAAAAGATTGGATGTTGGTTCCCATCATCAGTGATACAATGGGTTTTGGTCAGTGGTTTTCTTCTTGGGGTAGCTTAAAATAATGTATAGGAGAAAAAGTGCCATGTTCTCAAAGTCTGAGTCCACATCGTACACTAGGAGCAGTATAGTTGCCATTTCTCTGACCTACAAGGATTTCATGGCAGCTATCCAGCCTCTTTGCTTCATAGGGGATATGGTGCAGGAAGCACCCAGCCTAGGTTGTCCCATTGTATTTCACAGTTTTTGTTTTTTTGAGGCAGAGTCTTGGTTCTCCTGGGTAGAGTGCTGATGCATCATCATAGCTCACAGCAACCTCAAATTCCTGGGCTTAAGTGATCCACCCACCTCAGCCTCCCAGAGTGCTAGGATTACAGGCGTGAACCACAGCACCTGGCCACTGCAGCTGTTTTTATAGAGCAAATTTTTTTGTATGGATTGAAATGATGATACAGAAACTAGCACAGTTTTATTGTACTGTTAACATACTCCTTTATATGTTTGTAGTTAGAAAAATGCAAAGAATAAAGGCAGGTTACATTTCACATACTGTCTTGTATATGACCATAGCTCAGGAGCCAGCACATGCAGAAATGGCTCCTCATCCTGAGTCCTTGCTGGTCAGCTGCAAAGGCAGGGCTCAGATCTGTCTTTCCTGACACCACAGGCAATGCTTGTCCCACTTGGTAATCCTGTACTTTGTAGTGGTGAGGACCAATGCCACTTCTCTTAGAGCAAAGCAGAAATTCAAGGTTTTCTTTCTTTGAAAATGAGAAGTCTCATAAGAATACCTTATACTTTAACATCCTACCTATTTGTTTTTTGGAGATAGTCTCACTTTGTCAGCCTCAGTAGGGTGCTGTGGCATCATAGCTCACAGCAACCTCAGACTCTTGGGCTCAAGCAGTTCTCTTGCCTCAGCTTCCTGAGTAGCTGGGACCTTAGGCACCTGCCACAATGCCTGTCTGTTTTTTTAGAGATGAGCTCTCACTCTGGCTCAGACTGGTCTTGAACCTGTGAGCTCAGGCAATCCACCCACCTTGGCCTCCCAGAGTCCTAGGATTACAGGTGTGAGCCACCACACCTAGCCTCTTTTATAAACTTTTTAAAACTCAGAAATAAGAAGGAACAAACTGCTCCCACACACAGAGTCTAACGTCCCCACACACGCAAATCTCTTTATATGATATGCTGGAAAAGGCAAAAAACTGCAGAGAAGAAAAGTGAGGAGTGGTGCCACAGTTATATGCAATTACATTCTGTGTTGGGCCTTAACACAGCTCTGTGCATATGAAAACTTTAAAAAACCTACACTGGACATTGTGAATGTATTTTGTTATATCTTAATTATGCTTTAATTTTTTTTTTTTTTTGAGACAGTATCACTGTGTTGCCCTCGGTAGAGTTCTGTGGTATCACAGCTCACAGCAACCTCTAACTCTTGGGTTTAAGCAGTTTTCTTGCCTCAGCCTCCCAAGTAGCTGGGACACAGACACCTGCTACAAAGCCTGGATATTTTTTTGTTGCAGTTGTCAGTGTTGACAGGTCTAGGCTGGATTCAAACCCACCTGCCTCGGTGTGTGTGGTTGGTGCCCTAACCACTGAGTTACAGGTGTCATATGCTTTAATTTTTAAAAAAGAAAAGAGAGGAAAGAAATGTTTCTACCACTCCTTCCCCCAAAGTATGACTCTTTTAAACATTTAAAAAGTTTAATCCTGTATCTTCTATTTTGAGGGGTTAAAAAAAAATTTAAATCCTATTACACATTCCAAATTGTATATAAAATCAGTACATTGTATCCCATAAATGCAGTAATGTACACAGTTATGATCTAATAAATAAAAATAAATCCTATTACATATGCTGATTATGGTAGTGGTTATACACATCTGTGTATGTGTTAAAATTTGTAGAAGTGGGCTTGGTGCCCCTAGCTCCGTGGGTAAGGTGCCAGCCACATACACTGAGACTGGTGGGTTTGAGCCTGGCCTGCTAAACAACAATGACAACTGCAACAAATTACTGGGTGTTGTGGCAGGTGCCTATAGTCCCAGCTACTTGGGAGGCTGAGGCAGGATAATTGCTTAAGCTCAAGAGTTTGAGGTTGCTCTGAGCTGTGATGCTATGGCACTCTACCCAGGGCGACATAGTAAGTCTCTGTCTCAAAAAAAATAAATAAATAAAAAGATTTAGCGCCCATTCCTTAGTGATTAGGGCACTGGCCCATGCACTGTGGCTGATGGGTTTGTACCCGCCCCGGCCTGCTAAACAACAGTGACAACTACAACAAAAAAATAGCCAGGTGTTGTGATGGGTGCCTATAGTCCCAGCTACTTGGAAGGCTGAGGCAAGAGAATTCTTAAGCCCAAGAGTTTGAGGTTGCTGTGAGCTGTGACACCATGGCACTCTACCGAGGGTGACTTCATGAGACTCTGTCTCAAAAAAACAAAAAAATTGTAGAAGTGCACCAAATGAAAAAAGTCAGTTTTACTGAATGGTCAATTTTTAGAACATCATAAACAAAAGGAAAAGCAATAGCCTTCCTAGAAGCGTTCAGGTGAGTGGGCAGCACCCTGGTTCCTTGAAGAGGGTGGGCTGGGAGTGAGAGACCTATGTGTCTCCTGCATTTCTTACCTCCTATATCCCATGTGTATTACCTGTTGAAAAAAATGCTTTTTAAAAATTGTCATCACAAAACAACCTTGAAAAAATCCTTACAATCTCTTTTTAGAGTGAGAGGTAGATAGGCACAATGACTCACACCTACAATCCCAGCACTCTGGGAGGCTGAGGTAGGAGGATCTCTTGAGGCCAGGAGTTGAAGGTTGCAGTGAACTATGCAACCTAAGAATCACTTGAGCCCTGGAGTTGAAGGGTACAGTGAACTATGATGTTGCTGCTGCACTCCAGGCTGGACAACAGAGAGAGACCCTAGCTCTAAAAAATAGAAAGGTAATAGCTGCAGATCTTCAGGACTACGTAAGGGCATGCGAGTTAGAATCAGCAGACAACAACCAATATACACTGTCACCTCCCTTCTCCCTGCACACCTGAGAACTTTGGGGTGGTCAGCTCCTCAGCACTGCTATCTGGATGGTATCATTTTCCTCCTTAGTAGAGTAATAGTATAACATCTATTTGGGTACGTATTTAAGTTTTTTATCTTGGGGGTGCTTTCTAGTTTGTTCATTCCAAGATTACTTATTGGAGACCTACTATATAACAGCATTTTTCTTCTTTATGTATGATCTTTAAAATTGGTCCCAAATCGGTAGCTGGTTCTTTGGAGAAGGGCGGGCCAGGCTATGTGTTAGCTTGGGTTACTGCTGCCTTTTCCAGACTCCTCGAATATCTGATACACATTAGTGTGTCATTCTAAATCCATCCGGTTTTTCTGTTTTCTAACAGTTGAATTCCAGCTTTTTTTTTTTTTTAAGGAGATAAAGTTCCCCCAATTAAATCAAATGCTGGAGAAGAATCTGTCATGAATCTTGACAAATTGAGATTTGCTGATGGAAGCATCAGAACATCGGAATTACGACTCAGCATGCAAAAGGTAAGAGCCTGGGCTACTCTGAACAGACACTGGCTGCCTGGCTGACCCTGTACTGGTATATGGAGGTAAATAGCAGTAGGACATAGTCCTTCCTGTATCAAGTAAGAATACAAAAGAAATCAGCAGTCTGAGTTAGATAAAAGTACCAAAGTCCTTTGCCACATGAAAGGCTGAAGGTCAGCAGTCTAGGACGGAATTAGCAACCGCAGGGCATCAGGGACAGCCTGCTCTGGTTCACTCCTGTGTGCTGAAGCCAGGCTTCCACCCTCTGACTGTTGTAGCCTAAAGGAGGAGCAGTGGAATGTCAGAGCAGCACAATCCTCTGCTGGGCAGCTTTCTCTTAGCAGGTTTCCTGAATATCATAACAGGATGCTCTTGCTTACATCTCTTGCTCAGAAATCAATCGCATGGCCATGGTTAGCTTCCAGTGACTCTGGATGTGTCTTTACTGGGCCTGCTACTGCCCCTGAGGAGATTCAGAAAGGAGGAGAGTGGGCACTAAGTGAAAGCTGACCCATGTAGCATGTGCTGTCCAAGAGTTGGCCTTCTGGACTAGGACTATTCATTGGTACCTTCTGTGATGATAGAAATGTTCTGAATCTTTGTTGTCCTATATGATGACCACTACCCATACATGGCTACAGATCACTTGAAATGTGATCAGTCTTAAAAAACTGAATTTTCATTTTCTTTCTTTTCAATTTTTCATATAAATAGCTATATGTGGTTAGTGTCAATGCATTGAAAAAATGCGTTTAAATCAATTAAATAGGAAATAATGAAATTCTTCTAATACGGGGATAATGTTTTGTTTGGTTTTTTTATTTTTTATTTATTTATTTTTTTGAGACAGGGTCCCTCTCTTTTGCCCAGGCTGGACAGCAATCAGTCTTCCCGCCATGTTCCCCTGAATAGCTAGGACTACAGGTGTGTGCCACCATGCCTGGCTAGTTTTTCTGTTTTGTTTGTAGAGTTGGGGTCTTACTGTGTTCCTCAAGCTGGTCTCAAACTCCTGTTCTCAAGTGGCCTTCCCTCCTCAGCCTCCCAAAATGCAAGGATTATAGGCGTGAGCCACTGTGCCTGGCCCATATGTTTATAGGGATTCTTGTCTGTGAATGAGATCTCTGTCTCCTTGAGGTTGTTTATAAGAATTTCTTCATGTATTTTCTTCTTCTTTTTTTTTTGTTAGAGCAGGAGTCCTCAAACTTTTTAAACAGGGGCCAGTTCATTGTCCCTCAGACCATTGGAGGCCGAACTGCGGGCCCCAGGACAAGTCGACTGCTAAGCAGGACAGGCAGTGGTGGCAGCAACCTCAAACTCTTCGGCTCAAGTGATTCTTTTGCCTCAGACTATATGTGCCCACCATTATGCCTGGCTATTTTTAGAGATGGAGTCTTGCTCTGGCTTAGGCTAGAATATGAGCATTTTCTAAAAAGAAGTCTATTGCTTTAGTCACATTCTGAAGAGGGAGTCCAGTGGCACACACTTAGAGACCACCAAAAGAGATAAGATTACCCTCTACCATTCTCAGGTCTAAGTGTTTCTGTCTCCAGATGGACTGGGCTTGAGGGAGGCTTCATGGAGCCAGAAGAATAACATGAGTAGAGGTACAGAAGGTCAAGTGATGCTCTGCAGAACTTCAGTACGTCAGAGGCCAGCAAGGACAGGTGTAATCATTGCGTTTGGTAACAGGAACCTTTGTGTTAGGATGTAGATATGGCACATTCATCAGATTTTAGAATGGGAATACCTCTAACAAATATACCTTGAGATGCTAGAATTAGCACTGAACAAAGACAAAAGTTCTCAATACTTGTAGAATATGCATACCAATGGGGAAAGTAATTTTTTTGCTGATTCTGGCTAATATAGTAATGATGAAAGAAATGTGGCATATATGGAAAATAATAGGTAATATTATTATTTATAAATATGCTTTCCTAAAAATTTCATGAGAATAAACTGAAAAACTAATAGAAATAGTGGAAAAATGTAGTGAAGTGCCTTGATATAAGACTTATATGAAAAAATGAGTAACTTTTCAGTGTGGCAGGGTTATCCAGTCAGAGAACAATAAACATCTCATTCACATTATAGTAATAACATGAAATGCCTTGAACAAACTTAACCAGAAACATTAAAATTGATAAGAAAAAATATTTGACAACTAAGGATGGGAAAGAATGTTCAGTGTTTTCTAGATTCTAAGATACAATATTTTTCCATTTATTCTTCCTTAAAAACCATTAAGTTGATGATGTACATTACACTTTTACAATTATGTATTGTCTAATGAAAATTAGATGAAGTGCCCCCAAATGTTGGTAGAGGAAGAGGTATTCAGGTCAGCAGAACATAGCAGAGGCCAGAGATAAGGGGCCTTCCGCACGTAAGAAAGAGGTTTCTCAAGAGTCAGAGGCTTCCCAGGCCCCTGACTTTTCCCACTCCTTGATGACCTACTGTTTCTGCACTACTGCTCATCCATGTATCATTTGGGCAGTGTCACTGGGCAGAGCTGTGCTGGTTCACGTCACATTACCACCAGACCGCTTACCAGGTGACCTATGGCCCATACCAGGCAGCTCATTTGTCCAGGGCTTGGAGATGACACTGCCTGGTTCAGAGCATTGTGCCTCACAAGAAGTCTGCTTAGAACCACAGACACTGGCTTTGTTCCTCAAACTCTGTAAATGATGTATGTGGACCTGTGTTAAGACATACATGTAGCAGAAACAGAAAAAGCTTTAATCAAAATTCATTTTAAAATTCAGAGTAATCCAAGTGCAGTGGCTCAAGCCTACAATCCCAGAATTTTAGAAGGCTGAGGCAGGAGGATCACTTAAGGCCAGGAGTTTGATGCCAGCCTGAACAACATGGCAATACCCCATTTTTACAAAAAATAAAATTCAGAGTAATAAACTGTCATAGTCTGAATTTCCTAGTTTTTCTGTTTAATTGAGATAAATATTTTACGTAAAATGAAATTGAAGTGAGGATAAGTTACGGTGATGGTCTTACTAGCAGAAAAACACTTAGGTCTAAAGGTTAAGCAGTTCTTAGTATGGCTTCTGTAGATTAAAAGTTTATAAATCTTGATATTTGTGTCACAGTCAATGCAAAATCATGCTGCAGTATTCCGTGTGGGAAGCGTGTTGCAAGAAGGCTGTGAGAAAATCAGCCAGCTCTATGGAGATCTGAAGCACCTGAAGACATTTGACAGGGGTGAGCAGTCAGCATGTGGCTGAGGTGCTGCCTTCTGCGGGTTGGGCTGTCTGTTCTGTCAGGCATTATTGGGGGGGGGAGGGGGTTGGGGGGGGGACTTGCCCAGGCTGGATGGCCACAGGGCTGTGTGTGTTAGCCCTGTGGATCCCACCCTCCCATGGGCCCTTGTGTTGCCACCAGGAATGGTCTGGAACACAGATCTGGTGGAGACCCTGGAGCTACAGAACCTGATGCTGTGCGCACTGCAAACCATCTATGGAGCAGAGGCACGGAAAGAGTCACGAGGTGCTCATGCCAGGGAAGATTATAAGGTTTGCCACTCACGGAGCCCCACGTGAACCTGCTGTTTCTCCCATCTGGTGTTACTCACCCCACCCCTGCATTTTCTCTGCCTTTCGTTTGATTTTCCCAAAAGGAAGTTGAGAAAAATGCTTTTTTTTTGCATTTTTTTCCCTGATAATTCTCATTCCTTTGTTCACTGTCTTCAGTATGAGTGAGGCCTTTTTCTTTGCTTGAATCAGCACCCAGTGCTGCCAACAGCAGCATCTCAGCAACACATGCCTTACTTTCGCCAGTGCTGGGGTCAGGAGGGCAGCCAGAGTGGCTGGGAAAGACTGCTTTACTGGACTGAAATGATGATGGGAAGGTCATTTCAGACCTGCCTCATGTGTAGAAATGGTATTACAGATCCTGATCCTCGGTCACTTATTTTTTAGATGAACTAATTTTTGTGGGGAGCACCTGTGTCAATTGTGCCAGAAAAGAGTATTTAATAGCAAAAAAACATGGAAAGGGAAGCTTGGGGGGCAGGTCCAAGTGCAGGCAAAACTATGTCAGCAGAAGGTAAAGACTTTCCAGAGCCAGACATGCAGGCTTGGGCTCAAGATGGCATGTAGTTGCTGACAACAGCCTTTCTAGTCAGCTCAATATGAGTGAATGAGAAGACTGGTTAACCAGGAGAAATCAGATTTTTATTTACTGTGAAATTTTATTGATCTGTCCTGCACTGGGGCTTTGTCCTGGGACTCAGTGTGAAGGAAGAGATTGATGAGCTGTCTGTAGTGTGTGCAGAAGGACTGGCAGCTTCTCCACAGTTGGCTGCTCATGGGGCTGAGATGAACGAGTCTTTATTTCATTCAGCTGCAGCATATACACAGGTGGGACCTAGGCGAACTTGTCTGTAATCAGATATTTAGAAATTAGGGATGGTTGCAGCCTTCTCTCTGTTCATCCCACCTCTCTCAGCACAAACAGCCAAGTGTTTGGGTTTGGGGGAATATTTTAAAGAGGCTCTTACATGCCTTATCCATTGCTGTGTGCACAATTTTCCTTAATATTATTCAGCTTCTTTTTTAAGAATTTTTGAGAATTTTAATATAATTGCTAAAACATTTAAATAAAGCAAACAGAAAGAAAAGGGTTGAGGCAGTCTCCCAGAGTACAGAGTAAAAAAACAACAAACTTTGAGGTACATAAAGGATTTTATCTAATAGAAAATACAGAAATGGATTACTCAGGACCCACACTGCTGGCTTCAAACTTCTGACCAGCTTTATAGCCTTGGTAGGTTCTGAACTTGTCAATGGTGCCAGCTTCATCCGCTAAAGTGAACATGAACATGGAAGAGGTCCTGGGGTATGGGAGGCTGGTCTTATGTGTGTAGTTTCAATGCTAGACATGTTTGCTGATTACATTGCTGTTGGAGTAAGAAGTGTGTTGGCATTTCTGGCCCAGGTGCGGATTGACGAGTATGATTATTCCAAGCCCATCCAAGGACAGCAGAAGAAGCCCTTTGGGGAGCATTGGAGGAAGCACACCCTTTCTTACGTTGATGTGAGCACTGGCAAGGTACAGTGCTGGCAGGGAATTGGGGGAATGTCTTGTCACCATGCACATTGCGCCTGTTTCCCTGGCATGAGCCATATGGCAGTTGCTGGGCAGGGAGCACACTTGCTTCATCAAGACCTGGTAGCAAGAGAGAAGGGAAGTGAGCAGGAAGCCACAGGCCTTTGGGTTTTGGATGCAGGTACGGGGTTTCCCCGAAAATAAGACGTACCCAAAATAAGCCCTAGCAGGATTTCTGTGCATTTGTTAAATATAAGCCCTACCCTGATAATAAGACCTAGTGATGGGCATGGCTATGCAGATATGTATTTTGGTGAGGAGCAGTAAGGAAGACTGGAATACCTTTTATCTGCCATAGCTCCTTTCTCTGAGCCGTTGGCCCTTGGACGGGTGCACATGTGGTAACCATGGTTGCAGGCATCCTATTGCGCGTGTGCAAATGGCTACCGGAAAGGAGTTCACGCATCACTAGCCCCAGCCCTACCAACAAGGTCGGTTCCTCCTGTCAGGTTCCAGAAGAAGATGACTTAACTCTATTTCAATAAATGTAGATTGTTGTATTAATAAAAATAAGACATCCCCTGAAGATAAGCCCTATATTCTTCTTGAGAAAAAATAAATATAAGACAGTGTCTTATTTTCAGGAAAACACGGTACTACCAAAATGTGCCTGGAGGTGACTGCAGGGGAGCCTAGTAGATGAGGAGCCTGTGGGCACAGCAGAAACATAGACACTGAAGAGGAGCTGGAGTGGGCTGTGCACTAGGGGGTGGCCTGTTAAGGTTGCAGTAAAAGGTTCTGCTGAAGCATAATTCACCTGTGGAGCATTGAGATTCAGAAATAATGAAGATACAAAGTTTCTACTGTTAAGCTTTTCATAGCTTATAAGAGATAATCTTGTAATAATTTTCCTGTGTCTACAGAAGTTAAGATGAACTCTGCCATCACTTATGTAGTGTACCTCGTGTGTCTTTAATTTAGGCAGTTTGTCATTTTCAGAATTTATCATGAAGTCATTTTTCGAATAGTGTATAGAAGTCAGACTTCACTTCTTTAGCGCTGCCTATTTTTAATAGCATTGTTGGGGGGGTTTGTGATTATAAAAGAAATGCTTATTTTACAAAGTAAAAAGGAAACAAAAGCCCATCAATCTGAGATAACCCATTACCGTTTTGAAATATTTATAAGCTTTGAGTGTAGGTGTACACACTTTTCATTTATGTGTACAAATTTATGGATATGGGTTGAGTATCCCTTCTTTGAAATTTTTAGGATCAAAAGTATTTCCGGTTTGGAATATTTTTCGATTTGGGAATATTTGCATTATACTTAACCAGTGGAAGCCTAGTAAGTGCTCCAGTGAGCCTTTCTTCAAGTGTCAGGTTGCTACTCAGAATGTCTCAGATTTTGGAGCACTTGGGAATTTTGGATTAGGGATATTAAACCTGAATAATTTTAAGTAGAAAAACACTTTTTAACATAAAGTGTGGTTTCACCTCCTGTTCGTGATGTGAGCATTTTTGTAAAACATTTAGAATCTTACACTGTATCATTTTAATTACTCTGCTCTACTATACAGAGTTGTCATCATTTACATGGTTCCCTGTTGCGCATGTAGATCATTTTCTACTTTGTTACTGAAAAATACTCCAGTGAATACCTTTAAGTTCCCACAGCTGTAAATCTAAGTTTTTTCAAAAGCAAATAACACAGGAGATGGCAATTTGTGCATTACTTACCACTAATTCTTTTTTTTTTTAAGGTCACTCTGGAATATAGACCTGTAATTGACAAAACTTTGAATGAAGCTGATTGTGCCACTGTTCCACCGGCCATTCGTTCCTATTGATGAGAGGAAATTCATTGATCACGGAATCTGCTTTTGTAATTATGTATAATAGCTTACACACATGTTTATGTCACAGCTACCTTTATAAAATGCTGCACTTGAGGGAATAGTGAGTACATTTGAAAAGCAGTTTTCAACCCAGCACCCAAGGAATGCTGGAGTTAGCTTTATCCCTTGCTGGCTTTCTTTTTTTTTGAGACAGTTTCACTCTGCCATCCAAGTTGGTGTGCCATGGTGTCAGCTTAGCTCACAGCAACCTCCAGCTCCTGGGCTCAACTGACTGTCCTGCCTCAGCCTCCCAAGTATCTGGGACCATGGGAACATACCACCACACTGGCTAATTTTTTCTATGTTTTTGGTAAAGATGGGGGGTCTCCATCTTGCTCGGGCTGGTCTCTAGCTCAAGCAGTTCTCCTGCCTCAGCTTCCCAAAGTGCTGGGATTACAGGCATGAACCACCATACCTGGCACCTTGCTTCCTTCTTGTGAAATGATAAGACTGGGCCCAATTCTTAAATGAAGCATAAATGAATAAACTTTCTTTTATTTCCAAATATCCATTTAAAATATTGTACTGTTTGACTTTAGGCATATTTGTTGGCCTGAAATATCAAGGGTGATTATCATATTCTGTTACATTAAAATCTAGATATTTTGTTGTAATTTAAAAAATTAATTTTGGTTCGTGACAGCAAATGAAGAAAACTAATGTTTCCTCCTTGTTCCTGGCTGATGGCTTACTGTTCTCAATTATTTAAATAACTACTAAATGAGATGACATGGAAGTAAATGGGTTTATTTTTTACTTTTTAAGCTGTTCTTTTCATAATACAATGAATTTATTTTTTCCAAAGTTATTACAAAAAGATAACTGTACTATAAATTTTTTCCTTAAAGTCTTTCTGGTAAGAAAAAAAAAAATTTTTCTTTTTTATTTTTTTTGAGGCAGAGTCATTGTCACCCTAGGTAGAGAGCTGTGGCGTCGTGGGCTCACAGCAGCCTCAAACTCGTAGGCTTAAGCGATTCTCTTAACTCAGCTTCCCAAGTAGCCACAACGCCCAGCTATTTCTTTTGGGAGTAGGGAGGTTATAGTTGTTGTTTGGCAGGCCGGGGCTGAATTCAAACCCACCATCTCCGGTGTATGTGGCTGGCGCCCTAACTGCTGAGCTACAGGTGCCGAGCCAAGAAAAATTTTTCATGAAGTACCCTCGCATTAACTTTGCATTTGACCTGGGAGAGGACCATACAGAGGTCAGACTTTAGGGACCAACAGACTGCATTCCTCTTACCTACAGTGCCCAGCAGTGGTTGTATTCTTCAAGTGGTGAATTCCTTATTTGTTCCTTGTGCTAGGCACTGGGAAAATGTTGGGATGTTATGGAAATTAAAAGTAAGTAATGGAAGGGGCCCTTGACAATCAGGCAGAAATTCTGGATATGATGAATACAGAGCCAATGTCAATTTAGGTTCTTGACCAGAAGTGACACAATAAAAGCAGGTTAGTGGAAGTCTACCTAGCCACTAAAAATGTCCCAGGAGTTTTAAGTCCATTACATATGTATATTATATTTAGGTTGCCCCCCCCTTTTGAATAATTTAATGTCTTTGTTGGCAGTTGAGTGGCTGGTATATTACGTACAGGAAACAATGGCTGCATTGTGCACATATAACAGAATGCTTCTCTGCCATAACAAGGAATGAGTTGTTGGTACATGGGGCAGCTTGAATGAATCTCATAATCATTCTGCTAAGTAAGAGAACCTAAATAAAAAAGAGGATGTGCCTGTGTGATTCCATTTATGTAAAGCCTGGAGGGCAGATCAGTGGTTTGCTTGTAAACTTGGAGGGGTGGAGAAATTATAAAGGGGCGAAGGAAACTTGTAGGTAGAGTATGTTTATTATCTTCTGCTAATTACACCTTAAGAAGAGTATAGTTTTTGGTTAAAAATGCTAACCAAAAAAGGGATTCTAAGATAAAGTTCTCATCTCTATGAGGGGTTAACATCTGAAAGTTTACCATCAGGATTTCAGGAACTGTTGGATACAGAGACTCCCATGTGTTGGAACACAGAATGTTATACCTCCACCGAAGAGGATTTGGCACCATCTAACAAAACTACACATGCAATTACCATTTGGGCCAGCAGTTATAGGAATCTACAAATTATTCATTGTGTAATTTGCAATATTGGAAACTAAAAACATCTGTCAGTTGTGGATGAGGCACCTTTGTTCATGCAGTTAGGGGAGAATTGAGGAGGACCTGTGAATGGTCAGTTGCAGACAGAAGTGATCAAAGTCAAAGACAGAAGTGCTTCCTTTTCTCCTAAAACTCTAGAAAGAAAAAACACTAAAGTGGTTGCTATGGAGAACAGGGGACAGTGGCGCCAGTGAGCCTCTAAATACACTCCGAGGTAATGCACTAGATTGTGAATTCATGTTTGTATTGGGGTTTTTTGAGACCAGGTCTCCTTCCATACCCCAGGCTGGAATACAGAAGTCTAATCACAGCTCAACTCAGCCTCACACTTCTGGGCTCAAGTGATCCTCCCGCCTCTGCATCCCAAACTGCTGGGATTACAGGTGTGAACCACCACAACCTGCACCATGTATGTATATGTTTTACACATTACTAATCTGAAATTTTTAAAACAATCTCTAAAATTGAAAAATATAATCTGAAATAAATGAAGCCAATTCCCTTGGATTGAATTCTATGGACACTGGCCCTGACAGACTAATTTGGAAGGTGATCCTGAAAGGAAATGGAGGTCAGACAGACAAGGGGGCAGGAACCAGGGCGTATTGGGGAGCCAGTTCCCTCTGTGGGCAGCTTGGGTTCATGCTTATCTGTGGGAGCTGGTCCTTTTCTTCACTAGGTGCACATTTCACAAGTCAGCTGTCGATTCCAGGCCCTCTCAGCCTGTTCCAAGGCACACTGCTACCACCAGAGAAGCCCCCTAGGCAGTCTCAGATGCTTCTTGTATTAGAAACCAGTATGATATATTAAAAAATAAGAATTCAAACAAAACATAATTTATCACTTTCAGAGGTAACTAGGGCGTTAACTCCTCACACAAAATGTACAATTAAAATAAGTTAGTGTCCTGCCTTTTCCCTGCTATCTAGGGTAACTTAGTTGATTAGGAAAAGGTATTACATAAGACTTAATCAAAATAAATTAGTAAGGAATGGCAATTTAAAAATTACCATTTTGTAACCCCAAATGTGGTGGTTCTTTGGCTGGAGCATGCACTAGAACCAACTAAAGGGACCCTACACCAGTTCAGAAGGTCCTGGTTGGGCCTGAGGGCCTGTACTTCTAACATGTCTAGTGGCCCACTTTGAAAACCATGGAAGACATGAAATAAAATGACATGGTCCAACAAACATGGAAAAAGGACAGGTGGGAGAGTGCTGACAACCTTGGGCAGCTTCTTCCCAACCACTACTTTAATGAGAAAATAAATGCCAACGTATTTTGTAAACTTCAGTGGAAGTGTTAGGAGGCTCATATCTCAGGCTGAAAAGGAATTTGTGACTCAGATATTAGGTTTTACAGCAAGTTTATTTTGCAAGAGATGAAGAAATGCTGGCCCCCAGATGAATGGCTTGGACTTTTACTGCAGAAAAGAATTAGAGTAGTTGTTGCAAAATGCTAATAGGTGGTATTTTTTTTCTTCTTTGCTATCCTGTCTTACTGGACTTCTCAGAATGTGGTCTGGTAGATGTAGAGAGGGGCTACATGCTCTTTTCTGTCTGCTCAGTACTATTCCAGATCTGTAAAACAAGCTCTTAAAGTCTAGCCATAGGTGGTTAAGCAATCAAAAGGGTAGTTGCATATAATTTTTTTTTTTCTGGTTACAGATGGTTTACTACCATTGCTGTCCTTTAAGGAAGTATTAGTGTGGGTGTCTGAGCAACATTTGTTAGGACAATGAATTAAAAACTAGGACAAGTACCCCTGATGGCAAGGGCCCATTTGGTTCAAAGAAATAAGTGATGGGATGATTTCCTTGTCTACTAGTTTTGAACCAAAGACAAGCATTTAAATTCCATTAATATTGAGACCAAGATGATCATTGGGGAATGGGTAGTCTGGAAATGTAAATGTTTATGGTACTCCACTAATTAATGAGCCACAGGTCAGAATGTTTTATGTTAAAAATGTTTTGTAGATATGTGTTTCAGAGTTTAAAAATGAACCCACACATTTGGTTGGGGAATAGACAAAGAAATAAAAAAATTGGTTCAATATGAAAAGTAGAATACAGCCTAAAGGGAAAATATAATTTCTAACATGGATCAAATGAAGCAAAAAGATATAAAGTGTTTCAGACATGCCCTGGCCATTGCCATAGCCACAGCCACAGCCACACAGCTACTTATATGCTTTAAATTAATTAAAATGACAATTTAAAATCCATTTCAGGTACTTAGGGGCTCCCTCTGGTAAGTAGCTGCCATACTGCACAGAGTGGACACAGTGCATCAGCCAGCACTGATACAGACATTTGCTGATACCCTTTTACATTAAACAACATATATTTGACAAATTATCTACTCAGTGAGAAGCCCTAGTTAAATGAAAAGAACTCATAATTCTGACAGAGCATATTGGAAAAACAGGAACCACAGGAGAAAGTATCCTTGTCATCCTTAGACAGGAAGGGGACTGTGCAGGACAGTCTGCTATCACTGGAATTATAGCAGGAGGCTAAAAAATAGAAATTGAGTATAAAACAAAAGCTCAGCATGCAGATGTTATGACACAGCCATCAGGGACTCTGTGAGAATAAGATGAATTTGAGTGGCTTCAGATGGATGCCAAGTTAAGTGTGTGTACAAATACATGTGGACAGAGGACAGGATGGTCACACAGCCTTTTAATAAGTATTTGTTGAGGGCCTGTTATGTGCCAAGGACATAGGAACAAAAAGGTACACTACAGAAAGCATTCAGAACACTAGCACCAGAAGGAGCCAATGCTTAGAAAAATATTTTCAAACTAGCTCAGGGAAATTAGACCAAAGGAAAGACTGGCCCAGTATTTGGATATATGATGTGATTGATGTTAATGTAGGGAGCACAGAGTGTTATCTTTCAGTTAATTTCTTGACTCCCAGAAAGTGTGGAACAGAACTAGTTTGGAGGAAATTGAATCCAAGATATAAGCAAGAAGATAGTGGCACCTCAACGCTTCATTTAGTTGATTCAGCAGCCAGAGCCAGATGACCTGCCTTTCTGGCGGTCTCCATTGTACCTTCCTGCA